CGCAAGAACCTCTCGCGCGGCAACCCAGCGCGTCGCATAACCCAGGGCCCGATCCGCATGCTCGCCGTCGCCCTGCGCCGTAGCGCTTCCTCGAAATCCAGCTTGAGAGCTCGCGTCTGGCCCTCGACTATCTTCGCCGCTGCCCCCGCTGGGCTCGACTGGTCGCTGCGCTTCGGGCTCGGCTCTGGCGCGGTTTCACCGCCAACTCGCCCGCCGCCCCGCCCAGGGTGGCCTGGGTCGCCTGCTCGGCGCCCGCGCTGACCCTGCACTTGGGGCGCCGCCTTCGAAGGGCGCGGGATGACCCTCGCCGCGCCCGTGTCCGAGCTGAACGCCGCGTGCATCGCCGCGCAGGCGCCCCGAGTTTGAGCGGGGTCGCCCATCTCGCCCCCCGTCTTGCCGGAGCCGACATCGTAGCTGATGGGCGGGGAATTCTGCTCAGAGTCCTCGAGCGGGACCGACGAGCGAGGAGCGTCTGGTGCGCGTCCCCTCGCGCCTGGGCGCCGCTGGCAGATGCGCGAGGCGACGGCGCCGCTTCTCCGCCGCGCCCAGGGTCTTCGGCGCGGAGAGCTGTCTCGCATCGATGGGGGGGTGCTCGGTGCCCAGCTCGCGCGCCGCCTTTGCCGTCGCGCGCCCGCGGGCAGCCTCTGCCACAATGAGACGTTCTCACTGCTCTGTTTTGGCCCCGTAGATGCGCATGAACAGCTCTCGCAGTCGCATCCTGGGCGCGCAAACCGAGCTGTCCGCGGCGAGGACAGGACAGGGGCCGTCGCCGGCTGCCCCGACGCCCCGCGGCAAGGGCCTGCCTTGGCGGGGCCCGCGGACGCGATGGAGAACCTGGGGCTGTTCCGCGCGCGCTCGAGCTGCGCGCCGCGGAGGCCCTCGGCCGCGGCGGGCCCGTCCTCGAGGCCGAGGTTAAACCTGAAGCCCTGCCTGCGCAGCGTGCCCATGCTCGGCAGGTCGTCGCCCACGTCTGCGACCAGGAAGTCCGCCGTCGCCTCGACGCCCTCCTGCGTCGTCATCTCCACGCCGCGCGGCCCTGCAGTGGGCAGCGGCCACTGCTGAACGTCGAAGAGCCTCGGAGCGTCGACTGCGCTGCTCACTGTGGCCTCGGGGGCGAACTTGCGCCCGCGGAGACGGCCCCGCCGTCGGTCAGGATGGAACCGCCGATCTTCGCCACTTGCCCGTCGCGCGGCGCCGAGACCGCGAAGACCCAGCCGTCGGGCGTGCCGTCGCAGCTGCCTGATGCTACTCGGCCACGGCCTCCCGTTGGGGCCGCTGGCGCGGGAGTCTCCTTGAACTGCTCGCGGGCTGCCCGCGCTGTATTCCTTCTTCGCGTCGTCGGCTGGCCGCGCTTGCCGCAGTGGCCGCGCTCGCCGTCGAAGTGCCCTGTGGAACCAGCTCCTCGATTATTGTTTTTGGGCTCCGCGCCCTTGCCCTTCCAAGATTTGCCAACCTTGCCGTCTTACCTGGCTTGCCTCCAGCCTTGCTGCCGGAGGGTTGGGCGCCGCGATCCGCATCCATCTGCATGGACACGACGCCGTTCGTGTCTGGAGTGTGCGTGAAGGTGTGCCCCAGGTTGTAGCAATCCCTGATGCGACTCCGAACGGAACGGAACGGAACGGAAGCCGGCGCAAGGCTCCGCGAGGGAGCTGCCGGGAGGGCCGAGGCCCGCTCACATCTTAATGTAATCGTCCTTCAGTTGGTCCCACATTTCTAACATCGCAACCTGTGTCCAATCGTCGTGGCCAAGGGTGGTCAGCACATGTTGTTTGATATCGTCAACCCATCGGGTCTTAGGGCGCCCTGGGCGTCGCCGGGCTGGCGTGCGTAGGTCCAGCTGTGGAGCCCAGTTCAAGATTTGAGCCGGCCATTCTCGTGCTTCCATAAATACAACTTTCCGCGCCCATTCCAATTTTTTTCGCCTGTAGATCGTGGCCCAATAATCCACATCATATCCGTGCATCCGTCGTACTGCCTCGTGGGTGGCACGTTTAATTCAATCCGGCCAAGGCTCCAGTAAAGGGTCAACCTCGATGACGTCGGTGCCCAGGTCGGGGGGCGGAGCGGCGTCGGTGTTTGAGCCAGGCAATAGCCGTCGTCTCGGCACACGCACGATCATGCGGAGCATCCGGCGCTGGATCTTGTTCAAAGTATGTTGCATATCACGTGTAAGTGTCCAGCTTTCGCTCCCGTATAGCACAGTCGGTGTAACCGTGCCACTGAACAGCCGGAGTCGGTCACGTAAAGAATATGATTTGTCTGTTAGTTCTCCCTTCAGCATGTGGAACTTCTTACATGCAGCGGCGATCATGTTGTCGAGTTCGACTTTGTGCTGTCCTGCAAATTGTATCATTTTCCCAAATATTTAGTGAAGCGGTAAGGAGGTATTACTTCGATTACCATGCCGTTCGCATGTACATGTGCTGGAGGTCGTCCCCTGCGAGTGAATCCGTGACCGTTGTGTAATATCTTCGTCTTGCTGGGATGCAAGTGTAAGCCGATGTGCGACGCTTGCGTGCTGAAGTCGGATAGCATGCTACGAACGGCCACGAACGTGACGAACGTGCGTGCACATGCGCCGAACCGCCACGAACGTGACTTTGACCTCCTCTGGGGCCTTTCGGAGAATCTCGCGATATGGCTATGGCGCGTGCTCGAGCAGCACACTGGCTCGTACATTGCCCGAGACTGCTTCGCCACTCTGGTCCACATACTCTGCCACGATCGCCGCCCGCGCCGCGACAGACTGGAAGAATTCGATGCCCGACTCCCTGTCCTTCGCCCAGTTGCCGTGGGGATTCAGGATAACTCGTACATTTGCCGTCCATATGTTGCCTGAGAAGCCTCGCTGCCTTGGGCCTTTTCCTTCTCACTTCCCCCCCTCGCTCGCCGCCGATGTCCTGCTTTGGCACTTTATCTGGAGCAGCCGTCACGCCTCCAACACGCCTTTGCGCGATAGCTTGACCACTCCCTTGGTTTTGCCGTCGCACCACGAGATGAGCAAGTGGCGGAGCCTGGCGCTAGCCTGCTTCGCTCGGCCACCGAACGCGTCGTTGACGAGAGGATCCCTGTGTTGCGCCCCCTCCATCTTCAGGTCCTCTAGGCCGAGCAGCGCGGTGCAGGTATCGATTCTGAAATTCCAATGTCCCCACTGTTCGCGTGTGCCGTCAGAACGTTGGACGCACATGTCCGTGCGAACGTTGACCACGTCGATCGCCGCCATGGCTGGGTCAGCCTTGGCTCCGCGGAGGCCCGCGGAAATGGTGCGGCGGGGTGGGGGACGAATTCAGCGCTCGCGGGCCTGGGAACCGAGCTCTGCGACCATGAAGCGAATTGGATAGATGACTTGATCATGCTAGGACCAAGCTCGCGGTCATGGCTGTGCAACAATCTCTCCTGCCCGTGGGAGTGCCCGACCACAGCATATACACTACACAACACGAGTAGTGTTGTTGATCGCCCTGCAGGCGTTGCCACGTGGCGAATCGAATGACATAATACGTGTTACTCTGCCACGAGGCGTCCCGAGCATAAGGCAGGGCCATCAGCTCGTCGTTGTCGTTGTCATCGTTGTCGTCGTCGTGGTCGCCGTCGACGTCGTCTATCCGGGTCGGCGGCGCCGGCCGCAAGGCCTTCACAACAACATTGTTTGTTCTGCTCCGAGGCGTGGCCGTGTGACGTGGAAGATGTTCTGATTCCGCTGCGTTGATTTGGAATTTCATCATTGAAATTGATGTGCATTGTATTGCGGTGCAGCGCATCGCGTTGCATTGCATTCGCAATTGCACGCCATTTCTTTTACAGACAAGCTGAATACGAGTTGGCCACCAATAAGCGCAAAAATGGCCAACCAGCCAACCGATCAACCAACAAACCAGCCGACCTACCATCAACCAGCCCATAACCAGCCAGCCAACCAGCCAACCAACCAACAAACCAACCAACAACCAAACAGGCCATCCCGTGGCATTTTTTGGATGTTCCACACCGCAGGGCGCGGACTAGATTTTTACCCAGGGACCAGCCAGCCAACCAACCAGCCAACTACTCTAGCAATACATGCTTTGCCTGGGTAGCCAGCTAGCCAGCCAACCAGCCAGCCATGCCACTCTTTGGGGCGCTTTTGAGGATGTCTCATACGTCGGGACCTGGAACATGCTTCGAATCCTGGAAGTATGTATATGTGCGTATCGATTCACACATGCATACATACATACATACATACATACATACATACATACATACATACATGTGCATATATTCTGAAACCCCGACGAAAGAAGTGTCTTAACCATTATCACTCTCACCCATGCCTTCCCATTCCACTGATTTTCTCTATCCGCAGACGGGTGTCTTAGCGAACCTGGAACCACGGAAAAGACACCATCGTGCGATGCGCAATCAGAAAACGGAAGCTGTGTGCATTGGATTACATTGGATTGAATTGGAGGAGGAGGAGGTGGAGGAGGTGGCGGATGAGTAGGAGCAGGAAAAAAAGGAGGATGGGAAAAGAGGAGGATGAGAAGAAACAGCAGCAGAAGGAGCAGGAGTAGGAGCGAGAGCGCTAGGACCAGGAGGACCAGGGGAAGGTAGAGGAGGGGAAAGGAGCGGGGCGACAACGAAGGACTCGGATCGAGAAAAATCGCCCGCGGTGAGCGACGGATGCAAAACGCCGCTCTGAATGAGGCCCACGCTACAGCGGGAAAACCAGGTTGAAACGCGGGAAACATTCTGACTGGAAATAACCATATGGAAAATACGATGTGTGCCCCGGTTTGGAAAAATACACGGAGGAGGCTGGATAATCCGAGCACGTAGTCGGGGGGGAGGGGAGAGTAGTAAGTCGTACTGAGAAAATGCAAACGGGGCAGACTAGGACTAGGAAGGGGAAGGAACCACAGGAAGGAGCAGGGGCAGTGGCAGTGGACCGTGAGCCCAATGCACTGGTGAGAGGGATGGGTGTTTGCTCGGGACTGCTCGGAGGCGATGGAAAGAGAGTCCTGATGGACGACGTCGCTGGGTGGTACCCTGACGTCCGCGTCGTCTCCGCACTCGATGAAGGCTATCTGGCGATGCATGGGGAACCGCATGTGCGCAAGCAAAAATGTATGCGCATATGTGCGAGACACCACAAGGCTGCGGGCCTCCCTTGGGGTCCCGAAGCAGGCCAAAAATCCGCGTGTCCCCTGAAGACACCGGCAACAACAAGCTCAACATGGTGGCCCGCTGCAGAAATGCCGGCCATCATCCACATGCGGCGTACGTCCAAGACCGATCCTCGTAGCACGGGCTAGGGAATCTCGCGCGCATCATCGCGCCGACCGCCGAATGAGCAAGCAAACCTGCAAGCACGTGAACGGACAAATACACCTGCCACCGCGTCTATGTCGAGCATACATACGCCTATCCAGTTCCATCCAGATCCAGCAAAAGCCGAGATGCACATCGCAAACCAAGCGGGCATGCCCCAAGGAGGAGGAGGAGGCCGAGGAGAGGGGGGAAGAGGAGGACGACAGAGTCAAGATGAGGACGAGGACGATGAGGACGAGTGTGAGGGAGAGAGAAGGCGAGAGAGGGATCACACAGCCGAGACTGAGGGACAAAGCAAAAAACGGGCAGGAGAACGAGGTACAAGGAGAGGGGGGGAGAAAGCTCAAGACTCAAGACTCAAGGCTCGAGGCCCCATTCCTATCAGGGCGCCCCGCGAGGGGGGCTCTGCGTGAACCCTCAGGAGTCGACGTCCGACTTCGCCGCCCGGCGCCCAGCTGACAAACTAGGGAGACAGACTCTGCCCAGCCCCACCGCCGCCTGACCGCCGGACATCAGCACGACTCGTGGTGCGCATGCGCGGGCCCCCCGTGGCGCCGCCCCCGGCGCGGTCCGCGCACACGGGGCACAGCCGATCCACAAGCTCCGCGCGGACCTCTGTTTGCGCGTGTGCACGGGTTGCTGCCGTCGGTGTTGTTGTTGGTGGTGGTGGTGTGGTTGCTGCTGCTGATGTTATTGCAGTTGCAGCTGTAGTTGTTTGTGTTGTCGTTGTTGCTGCTGCTGCTGTTGTTGGTGTTACTGCTGCTGCTGCTGCTGTTATGTTTTGTATCCTTCTTCTTCTTCCTCTGGGCACCAGGGCCTGTTTCTTTTTCAGAGGCGGCCCCGCTCCGAGGGGCGCCTCACTTTCGCGTGGCGGCGCGCACCGTGGGGCGGGGGGAGGGGGGAGAGGCCTCTCAGAGGGAGGAGGCATCTGAGAAGACGGCGCGCCGGCCCCGCATCTGCCAATAGGAGGCCCGCGCCTTCTGGGAAGCAGCCTCCCACTGAGGAGCCTTCCCCCTCCCCCCCTACCCCCCTACACCCTGCGAAATGCTTAAGAAATCATGGGTTCAGAAATTCATAGTCTCAGAACTTGAATAAAACCCAGAACTTCTATCAAAATCTTGGGATTTACATTGAAAAGTTAAGAATAATCGAGACTCTGGACGAAAACTTAGGTTTTCTTAAGCATCGCCTGAG